GTTTTATTGTGAATTATGTGATAGTTTACATGGGAGAACATTAGTTTTACATTCATCCTATTGTGTATTGTTTCATTGCCATGGTTACAATCCCTCCATGCATTATCAACCAACCAAAGGGTATACCCTGCAAGCCTGCCCCTCTGTCGTCAGCACACAGACCCTCTCCCTCTCTGGGTCTAGAGTCCCCAGCTGCTCCATCTCTCCACATCAGCATCTCTGCCTCCATCTCTGGCATCCCTGCTTCTCTGGGTAGGATCCCGCTCTCTCCACTCTTCTCCGTTGATGGTCCCAGGGATCTCGCTCCTAGACTGCAAAGTCAATCACTCCCCTCCTTTTGCTATAAAATGTCTACCTTTACATTTCCAACCCTCACAATCAGTCCTTATAACAATTATTCACTATTGTATCACAAGAGACCTAGCTGCATCTCCTTTCATCAGCCCCGCCCAGACAGATTGGATACTACTCAGTAGAGATTCTACCTTCCTTCACACCCTCTGGATCTAAGCTCCCTCTTGAAAGCTTGTAAGCCAGTTATTTCTTGCCTTTGTAGCCCCCAATTTTGGATAGCCAATGTCCAACTACTCTATTATGGAGGGGGTGGGAATGATCCTCACTGTAAAGATTTGTTCCCTCGTTTGAGCTACTGCATCAATAGGTGTAGGTCAAGTTCATCAAATTATATCAGATTACTCTTTTTTCCCCTCTTCTTTCTTCTAGTTGATCTCTGATCATCCAGTCATTGAAGTCAGGTCAAGTGGGTATTATCTGCAAGTGTGGGTGTTCTTGTGCATATGCCCTCTCTTTTTATCAGCTAGACGCTTCACTCTCTACTCTAGTCCTCTGTGGCTATGTCACTGACTCTGGGTTCAAGAGTTCCCAGGTCTTGCCACACTGCTGACCAACCAGGTCTTCACCTGGGTTCACAGAAGTCTATTGAACGTTGTAGGGCTTAGCTTACAGCTTCATTGCTGTTTGGTTGATTCTTTTGACTTAAAATTCCCAACTAGTAGAGTAATGAATCCCAGTGTATGGCGATGGAAATTTTACATTAATTAAAAATAGGATTGCACAGCTAATTAATTGCTGTCAATAAGTTGTACACCTGCAAAAGTTTGATTTGAAAAAGTTTCATAGATATATTTACAACAATTATATCACCCCCACTCCCACCCCCCGCCCCTGCCAAAAAAAAAAGGAAAAATAACTGCTGAGGCTGCTTATCTACATACAACCAGATACCATATTGGATTAGGTTCCCTAGTTTGGAGGCCTAGGGTCATGGTTTCATGGGACATCCCAGTTAATTAACCTAATAATGTGTTTAGTGCTTATGCTCTGTCATGCCTGGGATCTTAAAAACTTGCCAGTGACTATCCAAGGCACCATAATTGGTCTCTAATTCACCTGGAACAACAGAGGAATCGAAGGGTATGGAATGTGTGAATAATTGCCTCCAGGAACTATGCCTCCTTTCCTATGAGATACAAAGAACTGGATGGTGCCCAGCTACCATAGCTGAATATTTTTTATCAATTTTGAATAAAAGACTGTAGAAGAATGCTAATCAAAAAGAATAAAATGTAGAACAGAATTTCAAATTCTTGTGTAATCCAGATTTTCTGCAGTCATGGAGGCTAGATGAATTCCTGAAACAATTACCCTGAGATAAATTTAAACCTTAAACCAAAAACATTCCCTGAAATACTCTTAACCCCAACAGTTGTTATTGCCAAGTACCAATGAGTCGGTTCCGACCCACAGTGACCCTGTATAGGTTTTTCGTGTCTGCTGTGGGCATTATGCTCATTTGAGCATAATGTATATATATATATATACACACATGTATATGCAATGAAATTGATAACAGCAATTGGAAAGATTAGATATGAAACTTAGGGGGCATTGAGTTTATGTTAATGGGGTAGGAACAACTCAGAATAGGAGGGTAAGCATGATTCCACAACTCAAAGAATATAATCGGTGTCAATGAATTGTACATGTGAAACTGTTTCATTGATTTATGCTCTGCTGTGTATCTTCTCAACAACAATCAAAATTCAAAACAAGGTTTCCAAACTAATTTGTTGTGGTGGTTAGATGCCATCGAGTCAGTACTGACGCATAGCAACCTTATGCACACCAGAACGAAACACTGCCTAATCCTGGGCCAACCTCATTACTGTTGCCACACTTGAGTCCATCGATGCTGCCACTTGGCCAATCCATCTTGTTGGGGATCTTCCTCTTTTTCTCTGACCCTCCACCTTACCAAACATGATATTCTTCTCCAGTGACTAGTCCCTCCTGACATTATGTCCAAAGTATGAGAGAGGAAGTTTGGCTATCTCGGCCTCCAAGGAGCACTCTGGCTGCACTTCTTCCAAAATGGATCTATCAGTTCATTTGGCAACCCTTGGCACTTTCAATATTCTCCTCCAACACCATTACTCAAAAGCATGAATTCGTCTACGGTCTTCCTTATTCACTGTCCAACTTTCACATGCATATGAGGTTATTGAAAATACTATGGCTTGGGTCAGGCACACTGTAGTCCTCAAGCTGACATCTTTGCTCTTCAATACTTTAAAAAGGTCTTGTGCAGCAGATTTGCCTAATGCAATGCATTGTTTGATTTCTTGACTGCTACTTCCATGAGTGTTGATAGTTAATCCAAGAAGAATGAAGTCGTTGACTTCAATTTTTTCTCCATTGATAAGAATGTTGTTTATTGGTCCAGTGGTGAGGATTTAGCTGTAGCTTTTTTTTTTTCCTCCTGTCATCTCAGCTAACATTATATATATTATAGCTCATAGCCTGAGGTTTTTTGTTTTGTTTGCTTAATAAAAAGTAAAACACTTTTATTATTAATTGACAGACCATCAGTTTCACATTCAACAAATCATAGACTTTGTTTCATCTCAATGATTGCAGTTTCCTCCATTCAACAACAGTTATCCCACTTCCCCCTACCCATCCCTTTTCAATGTTGTCCTTCGGTGAATGTTGCTCTTTTGATTTGAATGATTAACCATTCCGTGGTGAGCATAATTTTCTAGTGTTATTCCCCCTATGTAACTATCTGCTGCTTAGCTGAAAATTGGGCCACAAGGGGGAGTTCCACTCCAGACTTGAAGAGTGAACAAGGTTCATAGTCTCTGGTTCCTCCAGTCTGTATCCGACCAAAAAACCCATTTTTTAAAATTTTGTTTTGTTTTGTTTTATAATTTTGAGTTTTGTTCTACATTTTCTCCTTCTTTATTCAGGATCTAATGTGATCCTTTTCAGAGTTGTTGGTATTGGTAACCAGGCATCATCTGCTTCTTCTGGTCTCAGAGTCATATGGTGAGTGATGTTCATCTTTCCATTAGTCTATTGGACTAATGGATCCCAATCATCTTCAGTTTTCATCACTCTTCTTTCTTCCACGTATGGAGAGACCAGTAGCTGTACCCAGTCACTACTCACCAAAGTACGATATAGAACAATGTCTTTCTGGACTATGTTAGAACTGACTACGGTGTCCCCTGAGACTATGGCCCTGAGCCCCCAGGCCCAAGAACTCATTGCCTTAAGAACTTTGATACTATTAAGAAATTGTCATCATTTTGTCCCCTGTGTGCTTCACCACATTCATAGGTGTTGTGTTTGCAGCAGAGATAAATATCCATGAACAAATATCCTCTTTCAAGCTCTATATTTGTGGATAGACTCCCACTCTTACTCCCATATCCATTCATCATGTGTATCTGTCCATGTATCTACCAACAGAACACTGTGATTCCAGGTTGTATATATGACACTATTTACCTCTATCTCTTCTCTGTGTCTTCACCTGTCATCATTCTTCTGCCAACCACCCTCTTGTACATTGCTAGCTAACACATGTCTACCTCTAGCCAGTGAATACTCTTTCTTCCCTCCCACCCCTGGCAGAAATATAAAATAATATTTCTTTTAGCATGAAAACCTATTCTTGAGTTTTTATAGTAGTGGTCTCTATAATATTTGCCCTTTTGTAATTGATTAATCTAACTCAGCATAATGTCCTCCAGGTTCACCCATGTTATGAGGTATTTGGCAGATTCAAAGTTATTCTTCAACACTGCATAGTATTCCATTGTGTGTATGTACCAAAGTTTGTTTATCCATTCTTCCTCTGATGACCATTTAGGCTGTCTGCATCCTTTTGCTATTCTGAACAGTGAATAGGTGAACATGGGTGTGTGTGTATGTGTATAGATAGACAGACTTATGTCAGCTCTTATTTCTTGGAGATAGGATTGCTGGGTCATACATTATTTCTTTTTACTCTGAGGAAACGCCATATCATTTTCTGCAGTGGTTGCAATGTATTACATTTCCACCAGCAATGTAAGATGATCCCAGTAGGCTGAGATTATTCTATGTTGATTGATTTTTGTGATTTTTATCTCATTTTTTTTTTCTTACAAAGAACTAACCCTTGAACACTTAAGAAACAGTGCTGTGAACAATCCAGACCACATTCCTCAGCTTATACTGCCAAAGGACCAAGTTTCAGACAAAGCAGGATGTCTGATTGAGGAGATTTGCAGTACTGAGATTCAGGTGGAAATGAAGACCCCAACTTATGAGTTAAAAATTGTGAAGGATCAGAGTGAGAAACCTCTGAAAATTGAATTGATGGTTGAATTACCTGGTATTGATTCAGTTTCCCTTTGTGACCTGAGTGTTTCTGAGGTAAGTTGAATACATACTACTACCAATTTCTCTGTCAACCTTCAGCATATTGTGTTCTAGTTAAAAAAAAAAAAAAAAAAAAAAGATAAAAGCCAAATCCACTGCCATTGAGTCCATTCT